CCCTGGGAGCAGCTCCCACTCATCCTTCCTTCCCAGTGGCCTTGCCCTGCCTTTGCTCTGCTTTTCCCAGGTTTCTCTGGAATGTGTGCAGAGCTCGGCTGTTTGCTTTGGAAGGGACCAAACTATTCCAAAAGCTCCAAGTAGAAATGCTGTACTGATATTTTCCTCTCTGCTGACTGGATGGGGGCTGGCCACTGCCAAGGGAATCACAGGGAGGGCTGCAGTGACAGCAGGAAGAGGAGGAGTGGCTTTGGTGGGTGTTTGCTCTCACCTCTTGAAATTTTTCATTCAGGAGCCAGAATTTCATCAAGTGTGTGAGTGGCTTGTGGAGAGGCAGAGTGGTCGGGCGGGCAAATTGTTCTGATGTACAGGCATCAATTTCAAATGTAAAAAATGTCATTTTCTAAGTTCGTCTCGCTTTGAAAATGACAAAATGTTTAATATTGTTTGAGTTTTCTTGTTTAATAGATAGTTTTTTTTCTACTTTTCTCCAAAAAAAGTATTTTTCCCAAACCAGTTAAAAAAGAGAGGCCAATTAAATCTACTTTCTAGAAAAACCCCTTTAAAGGTTCTCTCCCAAATTTACCCTAAACCAAAACATTAATTTAAAATAAAATGTACAGAAATACCTCTCAGTGACACATTTTCATTCATAAACCAAACCATCTCACCTTTGTATATTCAACAAAATTCAGATTATCAGGAGAGAGAATGAGTGTAGTTTGTTATGCTGTAATGTGCCAATTAGTGCCGTGGCCTCCCATGATGTTAAATATCTTTTTCTCAAAGTAGCATTTTCATCTCTTAAATGAACTTAAAGCTGAAATTACCTTTCAGGGTGGTAGGTGAGGTATCAGTTTCTCTTTCCTTTTCCTCACAACTTGGTTGCTCTTCAAAAATATCTTCCTTTATATTCAGCAATCATCAATTTCTAGCCTCAATATTAGCCTGGACTTGACACAAACTCTTTCACATATTTTCTCCAACTTTGTGATAAGTTTTTGGGTTTTGTTTTGAAACCCCACATTTGAGATGTTTTGAAATTGAAACTTACTATTCTTTTTTTTTGCAGTCCTTATCAGCTTGATGTCTTTATTTTTCTACCATTTTTCCATGGAAATTTGCCTGTATAAAAGTTCTGTTTGTATTTGTGGAGCAGCATTTCTGACAATATTTTATAGACAGAAAGCTTCCCAAATGAAGTGAAACGTTTGGCCACTCTCAAAACCCCAAGGGCTTTGGTTTTTTTGTTTATGGAATGATTCATTTCAAGTCCCTCTATTAAACTGCATTTTCCTATCGTGGCCTCATGCTCCCAGGGGAGGTTTTCATTCCCAAATCTCAGCTCCTAGGCTTGGGAGATGGAATTCACATCCCCATGGAATCCCAGGCTGGTTTGGGGTGGGAGAATCCTTAAAAATGATGATTTTGTTCCAACCATTCCATGGGCAGGGACACCTTTCCAGCCTCCTCCATCCTCATCTCTGCATTCTCTCAGTCAGGTTTTTAGGGCGAACCCCTGCTCTGTTTGTTGCCAAAAAAATTCCTATATTGTTAAATAACTTCCAGATAGGATGTAGAGAAGAGAAAAAGAAAAATGAGCTCCCAGAGCAGCTGTTGGGCAGCCCAGATGAGTCTGGCCAGGCTGTTTGAGAAAATTGTTTTGGCCCTGGGGTGTCAGTGACCTTGAGAAGTCCAGACTTTGTCCTTCCACCATCCCAAAGACGCTCTTGGAGCAGGGCTGGAGAAGGGAGAGGGACGAGTGCCACCTACTGAGGCTCCTCTCAGCTTTCCTTGCAGTTTCTCTCTCTGCTTTCACTTTTAATTTTAACCTCTTTAACTCCAGCACGGGTTTGGCTGCTTTGTTGCCCTCCTGGCTTGAGGAATTTTGGGGGGGGGGGGGGATTTTCATCTCCATGAGGACAAAAAAACATTAAAATGGATTATTTTTTTCCTCCAGAATTTTAGGAATCCACTCCAGACACAAACAGAGACTGATTTTAAAGCATAGTTAAGTGGTGTCTCTTCACTTCATAACGTAAAGATAATCTTAAGGAAAGCAAAAAGGGGAATTAGATAATGAATAATTTTATTTTGAGTACTATCAATGACAAAATCTGTTGACTTTGTAATACTTACTGAGTTTCAGCTGGAAAAAAATGAAATATCATGGTGGGATGTTTCAAAATGAACAGAGTAAAAGCACTTGAAAGTTGCTTCAGGCAGGGAGTGCTATCAGAGCTGATCTAGTTCTGCAGGTCACAGTGTTATCTCCAGAAAACTTCCAGATAACTTCATTAAAATCACTATAAAGTGTATCCCTGTCAGGTGTACTATCTCCTCTACCTCATTATAGCCTTTTATATTGGATTTGGTGAGGGGTTAAGTGCTTGTCCCTTATCTGAAGAAAACAAAACAGGAAAAAAGCAATAACGGATTAATTTCAGGTCGAGTTGTCCTGCTTCCAATTGTTTCTCCATTCTAAATTTATAAGGTGGTCTTGGGTGATACTGAAGCGTGTGGACTGAAAGAATTTAACTTGAATTAAATTCAGTTACACTCTGCCAGGCCAGTTTATGTTGCGTGGGCACTGCTTTGGCACCAGGAGGAAGCTTCTCAGTGAATCCAAGGATTTACCTCTGGAGGAAAACCCAGTGGCAGAGCAGACTCGGGGCTCTCGTGTGTCTTTAAGCCAGGCCAGTCCTTGTGAGTCAAAAGCTGAGTTTGGTGCCTGACTCAGGGAGCAGAGGGGCTGGCAGGGAGCTGCAGAGGAGCTGTTCCTCTGAAACAGCCCCAATTCCCACACCCCAGCCCCGGGCAGCATTCTTGGGAAGTGAGACTCCCAGAAGCTCACAGAAAAGCAGGGGAGGTGCAGGAGGGAGAGGCACCTTCCTCACTTCTCCCTGTGCACAGGGGGTGAAAGGTGGGGGGATTTTCCTTCCCATCCACTCCCCAGCCCTGCAGCTGCCAGGAATCCCCGTGCTTTGCTCCTGCTTCGTTGGCAGGAGGGGAATTCCTGGGATGTGATGTGGGAGTCCAGAGCTTCCCTCTGGCTGCCCTGGCAGGGGTCAGGAACCCCCCTGGACAGAGCCTCCAGAGACACTGGCTGTGATCTCTGCCCATGGAAAAGAGTTTTCAATCTTACAGGATCAATTACCAGCTCTGAGTGTTTGATATCAGTAATAATTAAGTGTGGCACGGGTGCAAAAGTAAATTTTAGGATTCTAGATGAGGGGTCCAAAGGGGACAAGCTGGAGGAAATTGGGTGTGCCTTGTCCTTTTTCTCCTTCTTCATGCCCTCCATGTCTCACTGTGGTGTTGGCATTTTTCTGTTGGTTCAGGCTGGGGACACACTGTCCAACGTAGGTGACAGATATTGGCACGTTCTTGTAAATGCAGCCCAGGGAGTTTCTGGTATTGAATGTTTGTCACATCCCACTGAGGGCAGAGCCCCACACGCTGCCCTGCAGGACAGAGCTGGGCAGGGCAGCAGAACATGTGAGAGATAAACAGAATAAACAACCTTGAAACCAGCACAGACCAATTATGGCTTCTGCTTTGGCAGGGGGCTGACAGACAGAGACTTTCTACAATCTCGGGATCATCAATACCTCAGATTCTGACAATGTGACAGTGCTGCAGAAGTCCTGGAATCCTTTTTCCACTGCTCCCAGCCTTTTTCCAGCTCTGTGCCACGCTGGGGGGAGCAGGGCTGGCTGGGCAGGCAGTGTTGGCTCTCGGGGCTGCTCATTTCCATGGGGAGTTGCTGCAGAGCCGTGGTGGTTTGGGAGCAGTGTGAGACTCCCTGCTCTGGTACCTTAAAGGCCATTCCAGAAAAGCCAGTCTGGCTGGGACAGCATCTTCCCAATTCCCTGTGTTCCCTCCATACCAATCTGCTGCAGTTCTGGAATTCGATTTGGGACAGCTCTCATATCTTTCTCAAGGTGCCAATGTAGAAATTTTACCTGCTGTGCCTTTAGAAATGGAAATGGAAATGGAAATGGAAAAGCAAAGCAAGCTGTTAGAAATAAGGGTGATGGAAATCACCCTGGAAAGCATTTCCAGAGTTCCTGAAGTCACTTTTCAGAATGAGGGCTCTGCTGTGGGAGGATTTCTGCAGCTGCTCCTAGCAAAGTTCTCGGCAAGGAATATGCCAGGGCTGCTGCTTGCTTGTGCTTTTTCTTTCTCTTGTCCCATTTCCAGGTGAACAAAAGACATCCCCAGCATTCCACCTGGTCCAAATGCTGCACCTACTAAATGAATTTATCTCAGCAGCAGCATTTGTGTTCACATTATTCTGAGTATACCAGGAAACAAAACAAGTTGTCTTTGATGTCTCACAGCAAATTAAAGGAGGGCCACATTCAAACTCCTCTCCTGGGATTTTGGCCCTAGACTGGCCTTTATTTCAGAAAGTTCAGGACAGTTAAATGTGGCTTGTACTTCTTCACCTCTGCTGTTCTGGTTCTGTGCAGTATTTCACCTGGAGCAGAAGGTGCCCCAGGAGGAGATTTTGGCTGAGAATTGGGAGAACTTCTCCTGATCAATAAATCTGGTTTAGCCCAACCCCCTCATATTACTCTGAAGGATTTGTACTTCTGTTTTAGAGCAGCTTGTAGAAGCTGTGAGGTGTTTCTGGTGGTGCAGCAGCACCTGACAGCCCTCTGAACTATTAATACAGACAAAAGAAATCCTGCTCATTGGTGTGGGTACTGCTGCTCTTCTTTAAAAGCTGCTTTTCCCTCAGGTTGTGTCTGATGTGCCAGAGCTGTCTGCATCTCTGTTTTGTGTAGCTGGAGCAATAAGCTTGACCTGTCTTGACATCCCTCTCCATTTCTGGACTGCTGCCCTGTTCCTGTCTCTCCTCTATATTTTCCCTGTGCCGTGTTGTCCCCGTTCCTTTGAGTACTGTGTGATTATCTGGGAGGATAAGATTTTGGACTGATGCCTGGCTCGTGTCTCTTTGTGTTGCCCTCCCTGTGCTGCCCCTGTGTCCCCAGGCCTGGTGCAGAGGTGTGTGGTGATCCAGCGGGATGAGAACGGCTTCGGGCTGACGGTCAGCGGGGACAACCCCGTCTTCGTGCAGTCTGTCAAGGAAGGTGAGAGCACCCCCCAAACTGCCAGCTTTCCATGGGCAGCATCAGGGAAGGTACAGGTTGGATATTAGGAAATCAACTTTTCACCAAAAGAATCATAAAGCACTGGGATTGTCTTCCCAGGGAGGTGGTAGAATCACCATCTCTGGATGTGTTTAAAAAAAGGCTGGACTTGGCACTTGGTGCTGTAGTCTAGTGAAGTGTCAGGGCATGGGTTGGACTTGATGATCTCAGAGGTTTCTTCCAGCCTCATTATTCTGTGATTCTGTGATTCTGGAAATATCTGGGAGCTGGAGCAGAAGACTCCCAAATCATGCCAGGTGGGGTGGCTGCAGCTTGGGAAGGGATGTGCAAGGTCAGGGTTGAGCAGTGAATTTTTTGCTCTGTACCTACTCCCAGGCAGAATGAGGACACAGCCTCAAGCTGTGCCAGGGGAAGTTTAGGTTGGACATCAGGGAAAAATTCTTCACTGGAAGAGGGATTGGGCACTGGAATCCCCTGCCCTGGGAGGGGATGGAGTCACCATCCCTGGAGGTGTTTAAAACAAGTCTGGACGTGGCACTCAGCGCCGTGGTTTAGGTGATGAGGAGGTGTCAGGTCACAGGTTGGACTTGGTGATCTCAAAGGTCTTTTCCAGCCTGGTTCTTTCTGTGATCTGGTGGGTTTGGAGCTGACCTCTTGCATCCCAGGGGGAGGAAATGATTCCTTAGGATGTGGGAGGATCATGTCCTGGTGCATCCAGTGCCAGGTGAAAGCAAAACTGCTCTAGACTCGATACCTAAGAGCTGTACTGATAGAGGAAGCTTGGCTGAGTGCAGGAGTATTTTGCACATTTTACAGAAGTCTTAAAACCACTTTTGCTATAAATGATTGTATTGAAATGGGAACTGAGTGATTTCTTGCCTCCCCAGATGGAGCAGCCATGCGGGCTGGAGTGCAGACAGGTGATAGAATTATCAAGGTAAGGGTGTTGAAACTGGGAGAGGAATGGGTCCTTTGTCTTAAATGAGCTCTTTTGTCTTAAATGAGCTCTTTCTCTGAAAAAAAAAAAAAAGGCACTGATGTGTCTGCTGTGGTGTTTGCATTAGGAATGGTCTAAGCTTCAGTGTTCTGGGGCTGACTCTCCTCCAGATCCTCATTTCAGAATTTTATGGACAAGTTCAGCATCCTGCCAGGTTCAAGTGTCACAAATACAATAAAACCAGAAATGGCAGGGAAGAGAAGGAAAGCAGAGTTGTTAATAATGATCTGTAAATAAACAGCCTGCCTGAATTACTGTTCTCCCCCTAACTGCTCCCACATTCATGTTCTTTTTTAGTCCCAAGCAAGTAAGAAATCAAGTCAGTAACTTAAAAGACTCTGTAAACTATTGCTGCAAAATGCTACAGCAGCTCCTGACACAGATGGAGCTGGATTTCAACCAGGCATTGAAATTAATGAATTAAATTAGCTACCCTGTTGTTTTTCTGTCCAGGCAGAGATGGATTGCCTTTTTTTTTTGTTTGTCTGCCTGCTTGAGTTCTTTTGGTGTGTGCACAGTTTTCTTATTACAGAGCTCTGCTCACTGAGATAAACTGTTAGAAGGATAAATAATTTATCTGGTAATGTCTTGAAAGAGGCAGTAATGGAGGTGGGGGAGAGGAAAATGCTGCTGTTCTTCTGGAATGTGTGGAATTGCTTGGAAATCAGGAGCCAGACACAGAATTTTCTCTCCTCCCTGCCAGGTGAACGGGACTCTGGTAACACACTCGAACCATTTGGAGGTGGTCAAGCTGATCAAGTGTAAGTAAAGGCAGGTGGCTCTTCTGTCACCTTGAAAGTGTCACAGGCATCATTTCCAGGGCCCTGCCAAGTGAGAAGGGGGAGGTCATTGCTGAGAGATAGAGTGTGTGAAACAGGGAAGTGAAATTAAAATTATTTTGACGTCCTGAATTTAAGCTGATACATTCTCCTGTAGCTTCTCCTTAACTTAATGTTTGAATTACCACCAAGACTTGCCTGGGTGCTTCCCCATCTTTTATTTCCACCTTAAATACCACAGCTGGGCAGGCACTTAATGTGCATTTCTGTGTGATGCCTGCACAGCACTACAGGAAACACGTTCCTGGTGGATTTTCTTGTGTGAGGAAGGAGGTGGCGATGGTTTATTTTGTGTGTGTGGTGTGTGTGCACTGCCAATGCAACCTGCTGGGCTGGAAGTTGGGACTGCTTGCTTTTATCCAGGCTGGTTCTCATGGAAATTTTGGGAATATGTGACATTTCAGCAGGGTTTTACACCAGGCAGTGAAGTCAGAGAAGCACAGCAGTGTCCCCGTGCGTGTGACCTGAGCCTGTCCTTGTGTCCCCACAGCGGGTTCCTATGTAGCTCTCACTGTCCAGGGGCGCCCTCCAGGCTCGCCCCAGATTCCCTTGGCGGATTCCGACGTGGATCTGGCAGCTTTTGGGCATATGTCTCCCATCATGGCATCCCCCCACTCGCCTGGCACGTCAGGGAATGCAGAAAGGATCACCAGCCCAGTGCTCATGGGGGTAAGGTTTGGAGCTCTCTTCCCAAAAGGAGAAATGGACTCGGGTGGTTTTGGCCTGAATTTTCCTCGACTTTTTGAATTTTTCAGATGGGCATTGGGGTATTTATATAATAAATATTTATTATATTTAATTATTGCGGGTATTTATTAACTTATCAAAGAGCATTTTGCAAGTAAAAATATGCAGTCCTATCTGAGACAATAGAAATATTGCTTTTATACTGTTACAGCTGTTATAATAGCTGTTTGTACTGTTACAGCTGTTCAAAATTAAGAAAGAATACACAGGATAGGGTTGGAAATTTGAATTGCTTCTCACAGGGCTTTTCAGAGCCTGTTTTGAGGAAGTAGGTGAAAAATGTGCATGTCCATTTCCCTTATTTGCCCAACAAACCCAACCCTAATCTCTCTGTGCTTCCTAGGAGGAGAATAACATTGTCCACAACCAGAAGGTGGAGATTCTGAGGAAGATGCTCCAGAAGGAGCAGGAGAGGCTGCAGGTACTGGAGTTGTGCAGGTTGGAGAGAGCTGGGGGAAGCAATGCAAAGAGGGGTTGTTAATTTAATTTAGTAGCAGAGCTGTGTAAAACAGACTTCGTGTAGCAGCTCCTTGGGTGTGCAGGTGTTAATTTAAAAGGCACAATTCCTTTGCAGGTCCTGCAGGAGGAGTACAGCCGAGCCCCCTCCACCCGCCTGCTCAAGGAGATCCAGGAGGCAAAGAAACACATTCCTCAGCTGCAGGAGCAGCTGTCCAAGGCCACGGGCTGCACTCAGGTGACACGGGCTCATCCTGCTCTGGGGAATGCTCCCAGGCTCAGTCCAGGGGCTGGGTGATGCCTCAGGTTTAGATTTTCTATTTTTGACATTCTGTGCTGATTCAGTGTGTAATTCTGAGCTTCACATGAGGGGATGCTGAGCCCTCTGCACAGAGCAGGGACACAAAACAATTCCTGCTCCAGCTGGGCACCAAGGACAAATGATCCAAACATCAGCCCAGGAGCACAAACACCGTGGGCTGGAGAGAGAAAAACAAGCAGGATGGGACTGCCTGGGCTGAAGCTGGAATGGGACAATGAACTCCAAGGTGCCAATGGAGCAGAACTGATCCCAGGGAGAGCCCCCGGGAGCGCTTGTGCATTTTGGGACCATTTTGGTTCATTTTGGGACCATTTTGGTTCATCTTTGGTGCAGTCCTGGCTGAGCTCTGGTGCTGCCCAAGGTGGATCCATTGAGGAGATCCTTTAATAAATCCCTGCTTTATTCTGTAACTCTGTCCAGCTCTGCTCTAGCTCAGCCTACACAAGGCATCATGAGCAAGCTGCAGTTGCTTGCACTGGCAGGCTGCACCCTCTGCAGCTGAGATTTGAATTTGGCACTGTCTTCTTAATCTTAATTCATTTAGCAGTGGGCTCTCATCTCCTAAAACCTGCTTTTTAGAACAAGTGTAAGCAGTGATGTGTTTATTATCTGTCAGTACAACTTAAAATACACCCATGAAGTCATTCTTGGAAGCTTTAAACAATCTTGTTTTCACTTTTGAAAAAAAAAAAACAACTAATTTAGGCTGTGTCATTTTTCCCTTTTCCCTTGTGTTAAAAGTGCTGAAAATTTGGTGTGGTTGTTTTCTCTTAGAAAAGCACTGCAGCCTTTTCTAGATAAATTAAGGTTTTATGAGTAATGTCAGCTGCCTGGCTCTTCAAAGAGTTGATTTTTAAGGATGGTCTCTTGAAATATTCTGCTTTCATCTTTGCAGGATGGAGTCCTGTCCTCCAGGTCTGTGTCAGAGTCACTGCAGATCAGCGAGGGGGAGGCAGAGAGTGGGGACAGCGGCAGCAAACTGGATTTCAGTGGTGACAGCCCCTCCAGACCCAACAGTGACATTGCTGATGTGAGTCTGGGGCAGCCCCAGGGCTTTGCTTCTCTCCCTCTTGCTTTGGGTTTCCTTGGCAGATTCTGTCTGGGTGTTGTCCTGTGCATTACTGCACCAGGCACCTCAGTGCCCACCAAAACCTTTCCCCTGTGAAAACCTCTTCTACTGGACTGGTGTTAGAGACTGGGAGAGAATAAATTCTGGGGGTTTTATCCAGGATTAGATTGTCCTGCCATTAATCCCTGTACACAGGCAAAGATGGATGCCAGCACGTTTCTTAAAACTCACTTTGCCAATTAGAGCATCTTTGAGGGGAATATTCCAACTGCAGCACCGTGACTCAGATCCAGGCAGCTTGCCCTAAAAGTGGGAAAGATCCTTCCCTCCACCAAATCAGCTTCAGTTCCTGCCACCAGCAAAGGCTCTTGGTGTGTTCACTCATTAGTTATCAATCTGTGTCTCCTGTGCTCTCCTTTGGTGCCTAATCCTTAATTAAGCCACTGTCTGATTAGTGCAGGGGAGCTGAGACTCTCTGCTTGGATTTAGCCTAAGTTTGTTGATTAACTTAAGGAGCTAAATTTGTCCCAGCAGTTGGAAGTGAAAGGGAGGTGGGTGAGATGGAAGCATCCACGACTCTGTTTTGAAACATTCCAACTCCAAATCTGACCAGATCCCACTCAGCGTTTGTGTTTAATAAATGCACAACAAAATTCATCATTATCTTCCTAATAATCATCATGCTGTCACTGCTGGGGATGGTATTTTATCACTGCAGGTGATTGGCATTTCAGCTTTTCAATCCAGCTCTGAGGAATTTATGGAGCAGGGGTGAAAGAAACCCTTGGAAGTGGAAAGAGTTCTGCAGCTGGGAAAAAGCCAGGCTGGAAAGCAGCAGCCTGAGCAGTGGCCTGGCTGGGAAAACCTTTGGACACACTGAAGATGAGCCAGCAGCACGTGGGTTTTGCAAATAAGGCTCTGCTGGGTTTCCTGAGCAAGGGGATTGCTGGCAGATGGGAGGAGAGAGCTGAACTGTGAGAAAAGGTGGAGAGAACAAGGAAAAAGCCAAGGGCTGGGGATTTTACAGCTCTGCCGTTGCTCACTGACACCAGATTTCTCACCAAAACTTCTGCATTCGCTTGAGTTTTGGGGTTTTTTTTTGTTTAACTGCGCATGTAGGACACAGATTTTACTCTGGTTTTTCACACCTCCTTTTCCTGTGAGAAAGGAGAAGTTTTTTGGCTGTTGTGGCTGACAAACTGCACTGTGCAGTTCTCCCTTCCCTGGATTTGCTGGTACTTACCAGAACTGAACTTCCCTCTTTCCCAGAGCCCTCGCAGTGGCCTGAAGGAGAGGATTTATCCAGATGAGAGCCCAGAAAAGGCTGAGCTTCAAGACACTGTGAGTACACAACATCGAGTGTCACAACAGCACCTCCTCTAACAGGCCCATTAAAATCTTGCTGCTTTCCCCCACTTTCTAAATGGAGCATGCCTGAACTTTGCTTTAGAAAATAAAATGCAATTAAAGTGGTGCAGGGAAAGTTAATTAGCAGAGTAAATGTTTATGGAGCTTAAGAGCAGGGCCATTTAGAGGCAAGAAATACCTGATCAGCAGTAAAACAGCTGGGCCTGGAATAAGGAGAGCAGTTGCACATGTTTTATTCCTTGAGTCCAGCCCTTTTTTTAGGATGTTCACTCATTTGGGAGCTGCCATTTCCAGCAGGGCTACAAGTGGAGCTCAGCAGGAAGTGCAGAGCTGTGTGAGCACATCATCATCCTTGGGGTGACTCCTGGATTCTCCTCCCCCTCCTCTGCTTCTCCTCCCAAAGCCCCATTTCCCAAGGAGTTTTGGTCCATAGCCACGTGCCCAAAAGCATCCCTGCTTGTCCTCCCAAAGCCCCATTTTCCCACTTTGGTCCCCATTGAAATCTCAGGATTTCGTTTCCTTTTGGGAAAAGAAATTAAATCTTGCAAAGCAGAAAAGAAAGGCTCCCAAAGACTCTGAGAAGGTGATATGATCAAGTGAAATGCCATTGAGAAGAAAAAAAAAAAAAAGGGAAATTTGGAAATGCAGTGAGCACAAGAAAATGGTCCGGGAGCAAATGAGTTGCAGTGGGAAGGGGCAAAAGATGCCAAAAGGAAGCTCAGAGATGCTGCAAAACCAGGGGGAAAATCAAGGAGGAAGAGAGAACGCTGAGGGCAAGACAGATGTGAAGTGGCATGCAGAGGGAAAATAAAATTCAAAACCCTCTGGCCAAGCCAAAGCCTGGCTGCAAGTGATGCAGGAGGACAAGTGCAGGGGTGCTTGGTGTGCTCCTGGCTGCAGGTGATGCAGCTGCCCTCCATCCCCCTGCTTTGCTGTTTGGGAATGTTTGGATCCCGGGATGGGGGATCCAAGGTGGAGGTTTTGAAGAGTTGAAATGATCAGAACATCTCCAGGTTTTACTGTGAGGGACAATCCCAGATTTGTGCTTTTCTTCCTTCTCTTCCCAGGACTCCCAGTCCAGTGTTGGCAGTCCCCTGTCCCGAGTGGGGACTCAGATCATTGGGGCAGAGGATGATGATTTTGACACGGAGCAGGAGCAGGTGGGAATGACTTTTTCACCTTTTTTCCCCACCCACCAGAATTCTCTTCCCCTCTTCCTAAACTGCTGAGTACTTCTTGTATGGTGAAATAAGAATTTAGGAGTGGCATTCCTGTTGTTGCTGATCTTTCCAAATAGAAATATTTGGGGAATTTATGCCAATATCCATCTTTGAGTCTGTTATTTTTCCTTTTTCCCCAAACTTCAAGCTTTCTAGGAATGAATTTATTTCCTTTTCTGTAGTTTTTTGTTAAATCCCGAATTCTTGTCACAGCAGCACAGCTACCACATATTTACTCTGAATTATTTCAGCTGTCCTTTCTTTTATTCCTGAATAATTCAGATGTAATTCCCTGTGTCCTTGCAGATTAATGGGCAGTGCAGCTGCTTCCAGAACATCGAGCTCCTGAAATCCCGTCCTGCTCACCTGGCTGTCCTCCTGCACCACGTGGTGTCCCAGTTTGATCCTGCAGCACTGGTGAGAAGCTCTGGAATTTTTTCCCTGGCTCACATTTGGGAATGTTCACCAGAATTTACCTGACCTTGTGTAGCACTCACTGCCATGACCTGGCAAGGAGGGAAATGCAGACTCTATGCAGGCCTGAGGGTGATAAATCCTCAGTTATTTATTCAGATAAAGGGAGAAACACAAAAAGAACTGTTCCCTTTACGTTTGGCTGCTTATAAATAATTATTTATCACCTGAAAGTCTCTCATTCCACCCCAAGGTGTGGGATTAGTTGTCTGCAGAGAAGGTTTGACCTCTCTGTGCTCCTCTTCCAGCCCCTTCCCTCACCCCCCGTTGCCAGGGCACCTCCCCGAGGAGCAGGGAAAGCTTTCCACCCAGCACTGCTGAATTCCTTGAAATACTGGAAAGAAAACTTGGAGTTTTCATGGTTTTCACCTCATTTCTTGCCCTCCTGTTGCCCACAGCTGTGCTACCTTTACACAGACCTGTACAAACAGACCAACTCCAAAGAGACCCGGCGTATTTTCCTGGAGTTTTACCAGTTTTTCCTGGACAGAGCTGCAGTAGGTTCCTCTTGTCTTCCTCATTTTTACACATCCAGCAAGCTGACTTTGACCTTTCTCCACTCACCTGAACCAAGAAAAACTGAGAGGGTTAAAGCCCTCCAAAAAAAATAGTTTTAAAAAAATCAAAATCAGAATAATGTTCGATAAATAACTTCCTAAAATGTAAAAATCTAATAAAAGTTTAAGTTTTTTTTGTTGAAATGTTACCAAGGAATGAATGGCCTCAGATGCCTGGTAACAAAGTAAATCCCAGGGGATTTGTTGTTGATAGGAGAAATAATTCTGTGGTAAGAAAGCAAGTTCTGGCTCTTCCACATTGCTTTTTTACTTAATAATTGCTGTGGGTATTGATGTGGCTGTTCCAAGGATTGGGAAGTTTTATGGAAGTTTTATGTCTCTGTTGGAAAGCTGAGAAAATTCTTTGCTGTCATAAATTAAACTCCCAGAAACTGCAGCAGAGCTTATATACCACATTTTCATCTTATATAGAATATATACATGGGAGTCTCCCCTTTTCAAACCAGTGGATGCTCAGATTGGATGATTTTGGCTTTTGAGGGAATTTCCTGGGGTGATTTGTGTGTTTTATTGGGGTGCTGTTTCTCTGTGGGTTCTCCCAGCCTTTCTTTCCTTTTGCAGAACCTGAAAGTCCCAGTTCCAGAGGAAATCTCCTTGGAATTAGGTAGGATGGGTGAAGGGTGGGTTAATTCAGGGAAATTACTTTGTTTAAGTCATTTATTGAAGGTGAGGACTGTTCCCAGAGGAATAATTGGTGAATTTTCTGCCTCCCAGACAGGAGAAGGCCAGAGCTCCTCCCTGAAGAGCTGCACCGCCAGTTCATCCAAACCATGCAGGATAAAGTCTGTCCAGAGGTTCAGAGGAACCTGGAAGATTTCAGGTACCAAAAGCTCTCTGTGGAGCTTCCTTTCAATTCATATTTTATTTCAGTCAACATTCCAGCACAGGGAAACCTGAGGGAGACATAATTCCTCTTGGATTGGATAGGAATATACCAAGAATATACCCTCTGGCCAATCCTTAAATCAAATCATCAATTGCAATCCTAGGGCTTGGATTCTTCATTCCTGGAAGCTGTGTGAGGAAATGCCACAGTATTTTTTTAGGTTTTGTTGTATAAATCTCTCCTACTGATTGTGTTTATAATCAGATTATATATTTTTTTTCCTGTCCCTATTTTCCTTCCTTCTCCCCTTTGGGCAGGGAATAATCCCCTTTACAGAGCTCAGTCTCAAGCTACACCGAGGGAAATTTAGGCTGGATATCAGGAAAAAGTTTTACAGAAAGGGAGATAAAATTCTGGAATGTTCTGCCCGGGGAGGTGGTGCAGTCACCACCCCTGGGTGTGTTTAAAACAAGCCTGGATGTGACACTGGGTGCCAGGGTTTGGTTGAGGTGCTGGGGCTGGGTTGGACTCGATGATCCTGGAGGTCTCTTCCAGCCTGGTGAATCTGTGAATTCTGTGAGCTGTCACAGGCATGCAGTACAAGTTGATAATTAATTTGCTTTTTCCTGTGGAGTACTAAGAGCTCCTTGCCAAGCTCAGCAATTATTGTAAATGCAGCTGAACTCGGTGGGAAGAAATGCTGATGTCTGACTCCAGTTCAGAAGGCTGAATGATTTCTTTATTATAACTATACTATAATACATTAATATACTATTTAAAGCAGATACCAAAACTACATACTTACTTTTCTTACTATTATATTTAACTCCCTAACAGCTCATGACCCCCTGACATGGGTGGATCTGATTGGCCATGAGGCTCAAACAATCCTCACTAGAATTTAATTAAGCAATTCCCTTAGGTAAACAATTTCCTAAACACATTCTAGATGGGAAAAACAAGGAACAGGAACAGAAATTGTTTTGTCTTTCTTTTTTCTATACTCTGTGAAAAAATCCTAAAAGAGAAAAGAATGTACCTGCCACAAGCAACGAACTATTTCATATTTAAAATCCTCACTTTAAACACCCCAAAAACTCCTGTGTGACGACACCCTGAGTGCCCCAGGGTGCAGGTGATGCTCCCTGTGCCCTTCTGCAGGCAGAAGAGGAGCATGGGGCTGACCCTGGCCGAGGGGGAGCTGAGCAGGCTGGACGCGGAGCGGCTCCGCGACCGCAACGCCGTGGAGAAGGAGAGGAGCTGTGCGGAGCAGATCCTGGCCAAAATCGAGGAGGTCCTGTAAGTGACACCAACAGGGAGGTGGGGGAGAAAATAAAAAAGCGTTGGAGGTGCTGCCTCAGATGTGGAAAAAGCGGGATGGGTGGAATTTGGCATGGCTGTGTTTAGATTTCTGCCCTGAGTGCCCTGCCCTCAGCCAGGGAAGCAAAGGCTGTTTTGTCCAGGAGACTGCTGTGAAATAGTGCAGGGAATGCTGCCTTTGTCAACTTGTGCTTTATTAGATCAGAGCCCTTTTCCTGTAGAAACAACGGCTTCACAACCCATTTTCTCCTTTTTAATGTGGGCTGAATCCAATTGCCACAGCTGAACCTTCACTTTGGATTCTTGATTTTATTTTTTCCCCCCCCCGCTGGGACTGCTGAACATTCTAAAGGACACTTCAACACAGCTACTGATGCTCTGGGTGGATGGGACCGGGTGTTAATTGAGTTTTGAGTTTCATTTTGAAACGCTTTCTTGTTTTTAGGATGACATCTCAGCCTCTGGAAGAAGACAAGAGGTAATGGGAGCTGGGAGCTCGGGCTGCGTTGTGCTGATGGAACAAGACAGCCCTCTCCCGGCTGTTCTCCAAACTCCTGAATCCCCTGGCATAAATCATTGCAATTCACAGCATCAGCCTCTTCTTTGCTGATGTTTGTTGCCTGTGTTGCACATCTTAAAAATTACTGTCACTGCGAGTTTGTATTTATTTTTGTTTTGTGTTGTAACTGCTTCAATCTGCTCTAACATTTATTTTCTCTGTGTGCCCTGTCCTGTTCAGTTTTTAACCGAGCAGCTTTTCCTCCTTTTTGCAGTAACGTTTTACTGCTGCTTATTTTTGCCATAACTCAAAGCCATAATGTGACATCAAATATGGTTTTAGTGTTGAATTTTAGGACCTTCTGTGTAATTCTCAGAATTGTATTTTCACCTCCCGGGCTTCTGGGTGTTTTATCATGGAATTATTTGGGTTGGAAAGGACCTTAAAGATGATTTAATTCCAACCCCTTCCACTGTCCCAGGTGCTCCAGCCTGGCCTTGGGCACTTCCAGGGCTCCAGGGGCAGCCACAGCTTCTCTGGGCACCATGTGCCAGAGCCTCCCCATCCATATAGTCCACCTTTATTTACTCCATAATTTACAAATCAATCAATTCTGATGTTGGCTGAGCCTTCCCATTATCTGTGGGAATTTATTTCCTTTCATTTAATCACCTTTATTTAAACATGAACTTCTCAACAGAACCTCGACCTGAATTTTATTGACTCAGTGTATCTTCCCCAATATCTTTCCCTTAAACCTCAGTGGTTTTTCTGTGTTTGGCAGCTCCACGATGCAATATGTGATCCTCACCTACATGAAACACCTGGGAGTGAAAGTCAAAGAGCCTCGGAACCTGGAGCAGAAGCGGGGCCGGATTGGTTTCCTGCCAAAAATCAAGGTAGTGCTGCCATGGCCACAGAGGATTTGTGTGCAATTCAAACCCCACCTGTGCAGGAAAAAAAATGAAAAATCGCTGTGATTTTTATGTTTCAAGAGGATCTAGGGTTGCTGAGCCGCACAGCAAACCTAAGAGCTGAAATTGGGTTCTGCATCTGTTGGAAATAATTGGAATTATTTCCTTTTTCTCTGAATAAATTCAGAGATTTCATCTTGTTTTTGGCAGTTATTAAAACTTTGGGTGAGGAATATTTCAGAGGACACAACCTTGAACCACAGGAGGGTCTCATTAAAGCTGTTGCCTTGTTTACTTCAGTTTTTTTCTGGAGAAACTTAACCCAAACCCTCTTGGTTTGTGATGCAGAAGAGCTCTTCTCCCTGCCACTTTCCACTCCCCCACCTTTCCACTTATATAATGAATATTTCCACCAAAACTTCATCCCTGTGGGTGTCATCCCTTGTCTCCCACAGCATGGGGGTGTATCTGGTCACAGTAGCTGCTTATTTTCATCAACATTTCATCCTCCTTTGAAATATTAAGAGAGTTTCCAGCAGTTCTGCACTAACCAAAAAGGTGAAACAGTGCAAAACCTTTTTGAGCTTTGTGTCCTCTCCCTTCTGCAGCTTTAAAGAACTAATTAAAATCTCAGTAAACAGCTGGATTTGAAGCAGTGAGCAATGAGTTTGCCTTTCTTTACCTGCAGCAAAGCATCAAGAAAGAGAAAGAAGGAGAGGAGAAAGGGAAGAGGAGAGGCTTCCCCAACATCCTGGGCCCCCCAAGGAGACCAAGCCGACATGACAGCAGTGCAAGTATGTCAGCCCAGGAAAGCCCTGTGCCCTGCTGGCCTGGGGGCCACAGGAAATCCCTGCTGCCTCCAAAAATGCATGCCAGGAACCCTATTTCCCCCACCCCCCTGCTCCTGAACCTCATCCCACCCATCCTGC